AGGGAATATATGTGAAACTCTGTACTTTCCACTCAATTCCTCTTTAAACCTAAAGCTACTCTAAGAAAATAACATCTATTAATTAAAAACATAAAATCTCATGCCCTAAGGGTGTTAACATCTTTTGTATAATTCCCACATCAGATTTCAAGGTTCTGGTCAAAATTGACAACTTAGGAATATTAACTTTTCAGTTCTGTGAGAATGGAACATAGTCCCGTGTATTTAGATCTTTTAATTTTCTCTCAGAGAATGTCTGGTAGCATGAGTCAGCCAATTACAGCCCATAGGCCAGCTTTGGCCCCAAACCTATTTTTCTAATGCCAGAGAACTTAGAATGGTGGTAACATTTTTTAAGGTTTATAAAAAAACAAAAAAACCAGAAAGAAAGAAAAGAAAGAGAAACGGAGAAGAATATGTGACCAACTCTATGTAACCTGAAGAGCCTATAATAGTTACTATCTGACCCTTTACAAAAAAACAAATTGCCAACTCTCCTTTTGTAGTTTTAGGTTTATAGTTCTTTCACATCATTTGCTAATTTATTACCATTTCATGAGTTTTAAGTACTATTGTCAATGGTATTTGTAAAATTTTATTTTTTTTTTAGTTGTTCATTGGCCCGGAATAGAAAATACAACCAGTCTTTACATATCGACTTTGTATGCTTTGCACTCCTTGCTTCTGGTAGTTTCTTTGCGGAGTCTAGGATTTTCTACATATCCACTCATGTTTTTTTTATGTATAAAGACAACATCCTTCTAATTGAATGGTTTTTTTTTTCCCCCATTAAGGGGTTGATGGAAGAGAACAAGGTTCAAATCACTGTTCTAAACCCCAAGTCTGTCACCATGGGTCAGCTGTACGGACAGTTTGACGTGGTGTCACATGAGTGGTCCGATGGTGTCCTCGCTGTCAGCTTCAGAGCATTTGCTACTTCAACGGTAAGCACTAGCACTTGAGTGTGCGCATTCAGAAAGACCGTCATAGTTCCTTCTGACACATTTCTGACTTGTTTTCCAGTTGTTTCAAACATATTTCTAGTCCCAGGTATTTATTTAAAACACAATCCTGGAGGGCGCCTGGGTGGCTCAGTTGGTTAAGCAACTGCCTTCGGCTCAGGTCATGATCCTGGAGTCCCGGGATCGAGTCCCACATCGGGCTCCCTGCTCAGCAGGGCGTCTGCTTCTCCCTCTGACCCTCCTCCCTCTCCTGCTCTCTGTCTCTCATTCTCTCTCTCTCGCAAATAAATAAAAAATTAAAAAAAAAAAAACAATAAAACACAATCCTGGATGGTCCAGCAGTGTTTCCGTGAGGAACATTGTTAGCACCTATAGAGATGCCAGAGGCCAGGCTGGCCAGACCCTTTGCCTTGGTGTGCAGAGAGGAGACAGCAGGAGAAACAAGGGCAGGGAAAAGCACTCCTGGCTCTCTTTTTTTCTGGTTAAAGGATAGAGGAAAGAGAACATTGAATAATGTGAGCTTTTGCCTCCTTCAGCAATGTTCTTCCATTGCCCACCTTTTGGGCTGCTGTCTCAGTCATACCCACTCATTGTTAGGCATGCTCCAATTCTTAGACAAGAAATTGCAGACCTTTATAAAACAATGCCTTGAAGTTCTAACACTTGGCCCTACCATGTTAGGAAGAGAATGGGCTGCCTGTGTGCCAGCCACTGACTGTTGTGAATGAGAATGGGCACTAACCTCCTCCTGGCTTATTCTGCTGATGGCTGTTGCCTGCTCTTACGAGGAGTCCACAGACCACTGAGTGTTAATTTGATTGCTGTAGGTTAGCAGGCTGTGCACAGAGTGTGATCAAATGGGAGACAGCTTGCTAAGTCTGGTCTTAGAAGGGGGAGATGCCTGGGTGGCTCTGTCAGTTGGGCGTCTACCTTCAGCTCAGGTCATGATCTCAGAGTCCTGGGATCAAGCCCCACGTTGGGCTCCCTGCTCAGCCAGGGGTCTGCTTCTCTCTCTCCCTTGGCCTCTCCCCCACTCATTCTCTCTCTCTCTCAAATAAATAAATAAAGTCTTAAAAAAAAGAGAAGGGTCCTAGTCTAGAGACATTTAATTTATTAAATCTTTTTAAAATAAAAGTTTCCTTTATTCTGCCTACCATGTGTCCTGACTGTGGTGCTCTTTATCCACTTAAGGACCCAGCTGACTATGACTCTTTCGTCAGTGTAATAATAGAAAAATGTCAAAACTCAACACTGCTCTTAATGGCTCAAGGACCTCGGACAATAAGTAACATAAGAACTGGCTTTCATGGGGCAGAGATCTTGCCCAGTATCAGGCTTTACTAGTAATTTCAAGGATAAAAGTAACTGTGAGGCAGATGGAGGTGTGAGATCATTGATACAACTTCTCAGGTTCTTTCCTTTCACAATGGATGCACTCTGGCCCAGATTAACACATGACATCTCTAGATAATGTATGTAGTCACATTATTTATACAGAAATGATTATGAGATATGTGCCATTTTATACTCAGTTACATAGCATACATTACATTTTCCAGGACATTTTGCCCCATAAACACTCAGTCTCAGAGAGGTTAAGGAGCTGACCTAAAGTCACACAGCTGGTAAGTAGTAAAGCCAAATGAAAAGTGAGGTCCTTCAGACTGTAGAGCCCAGCATCTTGCTGTTAGATGGCCGTGTTGCCCAAAGTGAAGATTAGCAGGCATGGGAAGCCAGCAGTGCAAGGGAAAGTTGATCTTGAGGTGATACCTGAGGTATGAGCTCTTCCTTGCTTCCTGAGCATGGCCAGAGCTGGCTTTTGAGTGTGGGTGTGGGGCAGCCTGAGTCTATGATGGGTCCGCTGTCTTGTAGATTAAAGCAGTTGGCTACAGGGCCTGAGAAAGTGTTAGGATGGATTCAAATCCCTCACCACTTCAACTTGAATTCATATTTGCTGCAAGTGAACCAGGGCATTGTCTGTGTGCCCAAAAAAGCAGATTCATAAGATCTGGAAAGGAGAATCAGCTTTTGTACTCTCCAGTGACTACCTGGCCACTCCTTAATATTTGTTGAGCATTTACTGTAGTTCAGACAATGTGCAAATATTGTCATATTTATCATTGTGAGACTGAATCATATATTAATTTCCTGTATCATCATGAAACCATTCAACCCAAGAGGGTGTGTACATGTGAATTCATTCAGTGGAGGTAAGAAAAAACTTGATTTAGCACCCAAGAGTGCTAAATCTGTATGAACATAATACTACATAGAATCAGATAATTTCAGTGAAAACTGTTTTCCCTGGCAATTATATTTTTTTCTCATAATACTTTCTAAAACATGTTATATGTGAGTCCAGAAACATTGGAAAAGGTGGGATTTTGAGAAAAGATGTTATATTTCTGTCTCGTCCATGGCATATATAGGTTTCTTCAGTGACTCTCTCTCCACATACACGCACACACTTTATTCAAAAGATGCTGTTACATTTTCATGGTGAAATTAATTTTAGGAGTTACATTTTTAAATTGTGGAACATTATTGGACTGTTTCCTTACATTATCACTATTAATTTTTGCCCTTTATTCATCATATGCATAAACCAGACACCAGATAGGAAATGGTTAATTTTCGATGGACCAGTAGATGCAGTGTGGATTGAGAATATGAATACGGTGTTGGATGATAACAAAAAGCTGTGTCTGATGAGTGGGGAGATTATTCAGATGTCACCACAAATGAATCTTATTTTCGAACCAATGGATTTGGAAGTTGCTTCTCCTGCTACTGTAAGTTCTCAATTTTGACATCTGCTTATAAATTTGAAATGCTATAAATGCTTTTCTTACTTAGTAATTTTGACTTTGAATGGAAAAAATTAGTAGAATTCATTTTAATAGTACTCCAATTCTTTAAGAACAGGCATATCTTTTGACTTACCTCGACAAATTTAAGAGTCAGGGATTTTTTCCTCTTTATCTAAAACCATTGGTAAAGTCATACACAAAAATTTAGATCATGAAATTACATAAAATTAAACTTTTTTAAAAAGAATTTTCTGAAGGTTATAAGAAACAGATGTACCAAGTCATATTTCTTATAGAAACATTACCTTGACAGTAAACAATTTTTCTTTTTCCAGGTTTCCAGATGTGGTATGATTTACATGGAGCCTCACATGTTAGGCTGGAGACCACTAATGTTGTCTTGGATAAATCTTCTACCTGCTGCGATTAGTCTTATTCAGAAAGAATTTATAGTAGGCTTGTTTGACAGAATGGTCCCAGTTTCTGTTGAATTTATTAGAAAGCATGCAAAGGTAAGAGGGATGAGAATTTTAAGACTTAAATAAATGGAAAATCCAAATCAGCCAAATAAATTCATTTTAATATCTATTGTTAATGTCAACTCTCAGATACTAAAATAATTTAACAGGTTTAACTAAAAACTTACCCGATTAAAGTAAAAAGATTTTAATTTATATACTTACTCCCCCCAAAAAAAAAGTTAATGAGGGATTTTAGGGTTTGAGAAAATGTATGGATGCTAATCTATTCCTTCCTAAAAAAAAAAAATCTTAAAAGTCCACCTAACCACATCTGGGTAAAAATATCCTAAAATGTTATCTCTCATTTCTCAGGGACTATTATATTTTATATATTTTCTTTGTTTTTCAAAGTTCCTAGAATAAATATGTATTATTTTATAATTTTCTTTGTTTTTCAAAGTTCCTAGAATAAATATGTATTATTTTATAATCAGCAAAAGGCCAATTTTTTAAAAGTAATTCATGACATCAAGGAATTAGATAGTGGGTAATAATGGAGGAACATGTTACTGCTTCAGGCAGGCTAAATGAGGAAGCCACTCTATTTAGCACAAGTGCATCTACTTGTTTAGAGATGACTATTGTTGGCTAAAAAACTGGGATTCAGGGAGGAAAGTCAGTCCCCGGTAGAAGATTGAAAGGAGTCCAAATCCATTTTTCCTTCGTTCAGTGTATCCTGGGGATTGGTGCAGGGGGAAAGATACAATGGGGGGAAAGGACAGCATGAATGGAAATCTCCTGCCTCTGAGAGTTGATCTAGTTCCAGCCAGGCTCTTAAACCCTCCCCAGCTGGAAATTGTAGGGAAAGTATGCTTAATTTCTGCTCTGGGAGATGTCAGCCAAAGGTCTTTTAGGATGACTTTAGCTCTGGGGGCACCTGGGTGGCTCAGATGGTTAAGCGTCTGCCTTCGGCTCGGGTCATGGTCCTGGGGTCCTGGGATCGGGCTCCCTGCTCGGCGGGAAGCCTGCTTCTCCCTCTCCCACTCCCCCTGCTTGTGTTCCCTCTCTCGCTGTGTCTCTCTCTGTCAAATAAGTAAATAAAATCTTTAAAAAAAAAAAAAAAGGATGACTTTAGCTCTGGAACAAATAGAGGCACACAGGGCTGCTGTTTCTCCTGCCAGTTGGAAATAGAATAGAAAAGCTTGAGGCACAAGTTGGGTTCAAGGTACAGATGCAGAAAGCAGAATTTAAAATCATGACAGTGGATATTACCTAAAGAGGAAAAAAGATACAGAGCAAAGAATAGAATCCCGGGTGCAGCTGCGATTTCAGGGAGGAGAGCCTTTTAAGAAGCAAATAGTCGGGGGCGCCTGGGTGGCTCAGTTGGTTAGGCGACTGCCTTCGGCTCAGGTCATGATCCTGGAGTCCCATGATCGAGTCCCGCACTGGGCTCCCTGCTCAGCGGGGAGTCTGCTTCTCCCTCTGGCCCTCCCCCTCTCATGTGCTCGCTCTCTCTCTCTCTCAAATAAATAAATAAAAAAAAAGAAGCAAATAGTCGGTATTACCAAAACCACTAACAGGTCAGGGCAGAAAAGGAGTGGCACATGTCCTTTGGATTTGACAATTGAGAAGATCATGGGGAGAAGGACATGGCCCAAACACTTTCAGGGAAGAGACAAGGTTGCTCCAGGGCAGTTGGCTGAACGTGGGAGCAACTGGCCAAAATAGCGGGGTATACTGCTCTTTCAAGAAGCTTGGCTGTTAAAAAATTTAAATACCAAGCAAACATGAAATGTGTTGAAGATGTGAAGTAATCATGTTTCAAAAACAGTTAAACTTGGAAAATAAGCTATAGGTGCCCTCCCCAACCCCTACGTTGTCAGAGAATGTAGGTCTTACGAATATATGAATTTTCCATATAATAACTATCTTTTCAGTAGCAAAAGAGAAAACACACTTTTAATACGAGCTTCTAAAATGGTGTTATATGAAAACAATGAATCGTGGATCACTACATCAAAAACTAATGATGTATGGTGACTAACAACATAATAAAATAAAATAAAATTTAAAAAAAACTAAAAAATAAAATAAATAAAATGTACTCTGCACTTTTGTCCTTTCAAATTTTGGATTCCTCTTAGTTACTATATAGTAGTAAGTGTCTTATTTTGTATTTTAGTCTTGCATCAATAATACTTAGTCCCATCTTTAGAAACTCCGTTGTCATTTCTGCCTGTTTCTACTGGGACAGTGGCTGGAGATGAAGTCTGCTGCTTCTAAACTTCAGAGTCTGTTTCAGAGAGTTAATGCTTACGTGTTAACCACGAAGCGATACCACTCTAAAGATTGGAGGGAAGAAGACACATATTTGTGGAGAACTTGCTGTATGTGGTGCACGGTGCTAGGAGCCGTACACACTATTGCATTTATTTTATAAACTGTCATGGTGAGACCCAAAAAAGTAAAGTGCATGGTGTTTACAGCACTCTGGGAACATTTTGTGCTCTTCAAGCCTTGCAAATTTATTTCATAGGAGTGAGTTTACTACGAGGACTGCTGTAAAGATGTAGAAAATAAGTTTGGAAACACATTCATTAATTTTAATTCTCTGAAAGATTTTTTTTAGTGTTTTGATACAAAATCGGTATAAAGATAGATTCTAGGTCATTGATGAATGCAACTGACCATGTAAAAGTAAACTTTTTGATTTTGGGAATCAGTGCAGGAGTGGTTCAAGAGTGCATCCACGGGACAGGACATCCAGTGGTGCCACACAATAGACTAGGGAATTGATCTGTGCCTCAATTTTCCCACCTGCAAAACGTGAAGTAGAATAGTGCCTTTTCATAGGTACTATGGCTATGAGGACTAAGTAAATTCAATAAGTATTAGTTGATGCTATTTTAATTAGTGCCTAATTTAAGTTAATTTGTTTTATACACTTTTCCCCCTGATTTTTCAGGAATTATCTCCTACTTCAGATACAAACTTAGTCCGATCCTTAATGAATCTAATAGACTGTTTTATGGATGACTTTGCCGATGAAGTCAAGGTGAGAGAGAGAAATGATCGAGAAACATACTCTTTACTGGAGGTAAGGTCCATTGCCTTTGAATCTTGCAATAGAAAGACATCTGCTTTCCCCAAAGCTTCCTGATTAATAACTTCATATCTCCCCTGGCACTAGAGGCTGGACGGCAACGAAAATAGTAGGTGCCTGTAAGGAAGCTCCTCCACTGGCAGTTCCATTGCATCATGAGGTTTGGGTGAACCCCAGTGATACCCTTAGATCTGCTACTCAGATCTTAGGTCATTTAACCAGCCTCAGAAATTATCAATCCCCAGGACAGCAGTGACCTTTTTTTTTTTTTAAAGATCTTATTTATTTATTTGAGATGGAGAGAGCATGCGTGTCTGCGCGCATGCCCACATGAGCAGGATAAGGGGAGGGGCAGAAGAAAGGGAAAAGCAGACTCCCTGCGGAGCGGGGAGCCTGATCCCGGGCTCCATCCCAGGACCCTGGGATCACGACCTGAGCCGAAGGCAGACGCTTAACTGACTAAGCCACCCAGGCGCCCCAGCAGTGACCATTTGATAACCAGATTCACCTCTCCTTCAACCTGCAAATCATAATAATTCTTTGTGTTTTTCCTTGATTTTCTTCCCTTTTTCTTGAGATACAACTGTTTAAAATATATGTGTGTGTATAAATATATATTAACATTGAGGAAAGCAAGAAAATATGTATAAACACATTTTTCAAATAGGAATAAAATTATCAATGGACCTTGAATGTTCCTTGATAAAAAATTATGTATTGTTAATGGTAGCACTTCCAATGTGGTCAAGATGTTGCTCATATTATGTATATTCTATTAAATTAATTAAAAAAATTTTATTAACATATAATGTATTATTTGTTTCAGGGGTACAGGTCTGTGATTCATCATTCTTACACAATTCACAGTGCTCACCATAGTAC